ATCTGGGGGCAAAGTATTCAGACTTGGTCTCAGTTTTCTACCCATGAAATGAAGATAAAAAACACTGACCTATCTGCCAATCTCACCCAATTGCTAGAAGGTCAAACAAGAAAATTGATAACTTGAAGGGCTCACAAGGAATAATTTATAGGAAATATAATTCTATTTAATCTATTGACTTCAGGGGACAGAAGTGCCGTAAATCATCCGTAGAAAATGTATTCAGTCCTGCTTACAATGCAATTGTTAAGTCTAATCAGTTTAGCCTTATACCCACTTATGGAAGTTGTCAGAAGTCAAAATTTGCAGATGATTTAGAATAAAAGGAAAAAGACAGAGAGCCATTAGAGTAAACCATAACTGCTAAAATAACTAAATCATCGATCTGTAATTCTAATAATTAAGTTGTATAAATCAATGTTTTATATAAAGGCCCTTTAAAATTTCCAAGAAACATACAATGTGAATTTCAATACATAGCAATATAGTGTTAATAGGGAACTCTGAACTAGTAGTAGTAACACTCAGTTTCAAACATGTTTTAGTTGTAAAAATGAGTTTTACAAATAAAGACTTACACAGATAAACTATTTAAGGCAACTATATTTGCATTGCTACAACAGCTTCTCATTTCAGACTTACAACTTAGAGGAATATATGAGTTATTCTTGGAAGAGAACATTCAACCTACTTTAAGAAAATGTCTAGAGAAATAAACCATTTCTCTAACATTTTCCATCATGAATACCTATCAACAAGGTTTTCATTGTATCCCCAATTTTTTTTTTATAAAACACACACCATTGTGGCTTTGCATGTAAAGGAAATGCCGTGCAAAAACTTTAAATCAAAATCTTTAAAAATAAAGGTTCTGTACTAAATACATAAACACAAATTTCACCAACTGAAACATTAAGAAATACACATATGGGTAAATGTCTTCTATCAATATTACAATTTGAGATTTTAAGTGTTATTTGGCAAAATATGCTCCAAAAGGAGGAATCTGATACACTGCATCTCCTGCCTGGTAGTCCCTAGTAAGATGGTGGATATATGGCCCATAATCATCCTCTACTACCAGGAATTGGATGTCTCAAATAGCCCAAACAACTTTTAAGTACAAGGAAAGACACTATATAATCTGAGTGGCTTGTAACAGAGAGGTCTTAAAAAAAAATGAATAAAATACCAAGAGAAAAAGGCATACGATCTGTGTTTGACTTTGTCTCAAAATGCCTGTAGGAGTTAATGTGCTTTATTTATGTGTCCCATGCACACCTCCTCCAAAGCTGGTCTCCACGCAGTCAATATACCTGGACCACCCCCTTGGCCTGGATGTTCACAGAAATAACCGCAGTGCAGACTTTGCCTCAGATTCATGAACTGCAGGATCCTTACAGTAGAGACGTCCAACCACTGTCCTGATAAACACCCATGGTCACAGCAAGTGAACTCACAAGCCTTTACAGTCCTCCCCCTCCCACTTCACATTCCCCTCATCCCTTCTCCTTTCATACAACCCTAGACTCATCATTATTTCATCGTTCAGTCCTCCCTGCAACCAAGCCAGATACCCAAAAGAATACTGCATCGTCCACACCAAAATGATAAATATCATGCAAAGGATGATTTCATGTCAAAAGTTGAACTCCACACAATCCCTTAAGATTATTCAATCATGATATGACAAGAAGCATTAAAAATAAATTAGAATCCTATGAGTGGAAGTCTTATTGTTTATTCCTGTTTGACATATAGAGTAACACAAGAAATAAAACCAAGTGAAAAAGTGCAAAAACTCTGCATATCAATTATACCCAAAAAGTGGTTGAAGAATCATATCAATCCTTGCTATTCATACAATCTAAGGCCTACTTGTTTAAGAGAACCTCAAAAATACAAAATTTGACATCTTGCTTAACAAAGTTCCTTTACCTTATATTATTCTCATAAGAAAATAGACTTCTAGATACAACCAGAAATCATAATTCATAACATAACAGATTTCTCTAGTCTATTTACAGTCCCACATATAAAAGCAAATGTTTGACAGACTCCATTAAACAGCCTAGTATTGTTAGTATGCAAACTACTTGAAGGTAGAAGATGTAATACTGTTATGCTCCAAACATGAAAAGAAAGCAGCTTTACATAAAACCTCAATTGCAGACTGAGATGTCTAAACAACTTCCAATCTTTATACCTTCAGATAAAGAAATCCACTGTTTCAATCTGATGTGCTTTTTGAAAGTCTATGCAGAGAAAGTTATTGATAAAATTCTCTCCACATTGCTTAGGCAGACTAATCAGATCTGAAATGGTGGTGAAAAGGAGTTTTACAACTTTAATATGTGAAATACAGCCTTAGTTATCACCCTTCTGTAAAGAGGAAGAAGAGTATCAGAAATGTTCAAAATCAAGAGAAAAAAAAGTCTAATAGATGTAGTTATTCCTAGGATTAAAAGGAGCCTGGAGATGAAAACATCAGAATACCTCTTCCTTCCTTTTAACCTGAAGGCCAAGTGCGTCCTCTGTAACACCTGCACCAAACATCACTTGCAACGGGAGCTCCAGTTGCTTAAGGGTACCATGTGTGTAACTATTCTGCTGGGACCTTTCCAGTCTATTGTTGCAGAAATATCAACAAGGATGAAGGATTCTCATTAGACGACAGAAGGTATAGCCACATTATCCTGCACTAATGAGGATAATTCTAGCCATCAAACCCATTTCAAGCCTGTTTTAGCATTACAGAGAAGATGCTACTATAAAGACACTACTAATACCTAGAGAAACTGTTTTGAAACTACCTGTTTAAACTTAGATAACATTCCTCAAACTTACTGCCAATCCTAACTAGAATTCCTGATGACAGTAGCTACTGATCTTGAAAACACTCTTTCTTAAAAGGATTCAACTAGTTTTTAACCTCAGCATTTAAGAAAGGATGAAGTGTGAAACCGCTTTTTAAGATTATACAACTGTATTTGAAAAGAATACACAATTGTGATGACACATGGAGGTCTGGCACACACCTGCACACGTATCCAGCAGACACTCCAATGTTTATGTCAAAATAGCTAAGAAAATGTTCCCCCCAGCAGCAGCTCAGAAGAACTATCAAACAGCTCCTAGACCACTGGCATAGGCTCAGTTGAACTGCCCAGGGAATTTAAGGTTAAAGTCACAGGAAACAGCTGGACGCCAAGGCCTGAGTGATGTGAGCAAGCTCCTCAAAGAGGAACTTCACAAACAGCTCCTCACATGTCACAAAGACATCTAAATTCTAAAATAAAACACTGTGTTCTCTTCCCACATTTTTTGAAGCACCTTAAAAAACAAAGTCTGACATCAAGAGCTTACAAGCAATTAATTCTCCATTTGAGAAAAACCTTTGCTCTCAAAATTTTAGGGATTCGCATAGGTTCAGTCTCCTGAAGATCATCCTCATCTTGCTTCCTGTCCCACTGAATTAGGATGCAAAGCTTTAGCTAGTCACCTAGCCTCCAAGCACTAAGGGAGTGTGGTCGGTATAGGAAAGTGGCATTGGCCAGGCTCAGACACTTCTGTCAGTCCTTCCTAACAGAGCGCCATTAAATACAAACAATTCAGAACAAAGCCCTAACAACTGCAGGAGGACTGGTCAATGCCTCCTGGGCTCCAAGAATGGTCAGCCAATGAAATACCTGTAGACCAGCATTTTTATTCTTAAATCTGCACATTTAACTGTGACTTCCTGTGGTCTACAAAACCAGTATTTAATGTCACAGGTGGAGAGAAAGTCTCAAACATATTCAAGCAATTAGATTTCATGTAATTTAGAAGACATAATGTATTTGTAGTGTAAACATATTTACATGTATATCAAAAACAAAATCAAGCCAATATATGGTAAGGAATACTGCGTAAAAAAAAAAAAATATTCTCCACTTTGTTTCCACTGGAAAATCACTTGTTACCCTATGTACCAAAAAGTCACATAAAGTCTTTATTTGGGGTCAGTAACTATAAGCACAGCAACCTCAATGTTCTCCGAGGTTCTTACAATCTCTGCAATCACAGCCTGGAAATGAGGACCAGAGCAACCATCGCCATCTTTGAGAACAAAAGTTTGTAAACATACCTTTTGTTGAATCCCAGCTTATTTTTATGTAAATCTCGCAGGTGATGAAAAGTCAACCAATTTCTCTGCAGTGGTTAGCCTGTTGTTTAAAACTATGTGTCACCTGCCCCAGGGTTTTACAACAGAACAAGGAATCCAAAGGGTTGCAAAATGTTTTTTTTTTTCCAAAGGTAGGTCAGAATGGACACTGTATCTTCACTTCAACAGGGAAGCCGTACAATGTAATCCTTTTTGATATCACTGTTTGCACTGTTACCTTTGTCTCTCATTCTTTCTGAGACTATCAGCCTGTGAATGTGTCCATGCTTTGATTTGGTTTTTAAAAAACAAAAACAAAAAACATGTCACCCCTGTGTTTCTTCTAACATCTAAGTTTGTATACACAGATCCTTTTCATCAAATGTTTTCTCAGCATGACCAGTGTGCAACTGATGTTCACATAACTTATGGAACCTAAATATTCCCAGAAAAATATTTTTTTTTAGCTGAACCTCTATAATCATGACAAGAGATTGATTAAAATGCCAAGATAAGAAACAATTTATTATAGAGAGAAGAAAAATTTCTCATCCAAAATATAGAAATCTGTACAACTTTGCCACAATCAATATACATGAACTGTACAAATTTACACCAGTTCATAATTTACCAAATAAAAGATGACTAACAAAGTTCACAAAATAGATGGTGGTTTGTGGAAAAGACTTTTACCCAATTAAGTACAAGGAAAGTTACAAACCAGACCTCCACTTTCTAAAAATAAGAAGTTTACTCAGTCTTAGAAAACTACAAGCTAGCAAATGTACAGAGCTGGCTGGTGCTACACCGCAGTTGAGACAGTGTCTTTTTTAAGGGTCTTTTTAAAAATTTTTTAAAAGCCTGTTGCCATGGCAGATTCTGGTTACTTGCTACTTTCAGGGCCAAAAAACACAATACAAGATCGGACCATTTCCCCAGGTCATGCTTACTAGTTTGTCTTTATGTACATTTATACATATTTAAGTGCTAGGTAAAAGTCTTGTAAAATTTCCAGTACTACCGTGTTTAAAAACGTTGAGCTTTCCTATTGAGCTGCCAAAAAGATTAACGATAACAATTTTCAAGTGTTAAAGAGTGCAAATTCCTCTGCCAAGATCTACTGCAGAGAACGGTTCTTTGAAATACAGATTTTCATTAAACAGGCTGATATAAAATTTTAGGTATCATGTCTGGGAGAAACTGAAACCCCTCCAGGACTTCACTCCCTAGCAAATAGAGTGATCGTTTACTTGGACTCACAGGCTATTAAATCACTGAAAGGTACTGTCCAAACTATGGCACTGTCACTTAAAAAAAATTTTTTTTTACCACTCTAGCTTGTGCCAGATCTTCACAGCTGTGACATGGTTTAAATTCCATAATCCATCCCCAAGAGGAGCCCACCCAAAGCAAAAATCAAATTTATCCATCCATTATAAGATGATCCATCCATAGACTATATCTTAACCCGATACAGTCATCATAGTGTAGTTTTTGGAAGGGCTGGTTCTGCCCAAGAGAAGTTCCTCCTTACAGCTGATTCTGCTGTCGACCATCTGCACGTTGGCGCTGTTGGGGGTGCCACCTCCTGCTGGCGAGGCTTCATACAGCACGCAGATGGAGCCGTCCTCTCCGATCCGGTAGGACACTTCGTAGGGGTCGACCCACAGGGTGAGTTCGCTGGGCAGCAGCCTGAACAGCTCCTGACTGCTCAGACCTATCCGCTGGGCCGCCTGTCCAATCAGAGGATCCATCTTGTGGTTGATGCGGATACAGCGGTAACCTGAGCCCTTGCACGGCTTCTCTGGGAACCAGTGGTGTTTATAGTGCTCTATAGGAGAAAAAGAGCAGAGAAGCAAGGCTTTACTGCGTGCCTGCTGGCGCCGCTCCTGTTCGCCCCTGTGCAGAGCGAAAACCAAAACCCACGAACTTTCTTTAAAGACCCATCCCAGACCGCTCCTGGCCGGGACGGGCAGGGCTGGGGAGAGCGGCACGGGACCAGACAGTCTCCGGGAATCCCAACCGGCCAAGCCGCCCAAACAGGAACCAGGCGCACAGCCTCCTCCAGCCGGAGAGCCAGGCGGGAACCTGTTTACTTTCCCCACCCCGCCCCTGCCACACACAATGGAGTTTATGGCGGCGTCGCCACCAGACTGTTAACCCCAAAGGCAAGAAAAACAACCACAATCTGGGCAGGGCACCGGTGACAAACCCCATGATGAATGGGCAGGGGCAGAGAGTGCGGGGACACCGCACGTCCGTCCGGAGCCAGCCCCGGGGCAGCAGCGCCACTGCCCACCCTGCAACGGTCGGAAGGGGAGGGGGGAGGGGGCGTCCAACCACCCCCCAACCCCAACCCCAGTCCCGCGGGGCTGCTCCTTTGTCCCCCCTACCCCACCCTTACCCCCCAAACCCGCCTAGGGTCCCCGGACCGCAGCTCACGCCTCGGGCGGCTCTAGCTCCTTTGTTGTGAGTCTGTTTTCTTCTCCAGGGTCCGGCTCACCGGCCAGGAGGAGGGGGCGCCCTAAGCCTTCCCGGGACCCGTTAGAGCGGCTACCGCCCCGTCCCGTGGAGGGACCCGGGGGTCGCTGGAGCTCTGCGCTCTCCCCACAGCCCCGGCCACCGGAGTGGGGTTCAGCCAGGGGGCCCCCCGCCGCGTCCTCGCTCCTCCTCACTCACCTGCCAGCAGCTCCTGGAGGCTCTGGCTGAAGGTCTGCAGCTGTCGCTCGCTCGTGAGACCCTTGGTGCGGAGGAACTTGGAGATGAAGGACACGGCAGCGGCGATCTCGCCTATCATGGTGGCAGCTCGAGTGTAGAAGGGATGCATGGGGGCGGCGGGCGGGGGCAGCCCGGGGCGGCCGGGGCTCGGCAGCGCAGCCCCGACGGCGGAGCGGCCACCCCGGGCCCCCCTCACAGGTCCGAGGGCTGAGAGGAAAAGAGCCGGCGTCGGGGAGGGGGCGAGGGGCGAACGTCGGCTACTTTTTTTTTTTCTTTTCTTTCCCCTTCTCTTTAGAGTAAAAACAGAAAGTTATTTTCGAGACAGGAGGCGGCGGGAGAGACGGAGAGGCGAGCGACGGCGGCCTGGTCACATCGCTCGGACCTCTCCGGCCGCCTCCGGCTCCGGCTCCGTAGCCTCCGAAATCCCCGACAGTTGCATTTCCAGCTTCGTGGGGGCGAAGAGAGGCGGCCGCCGTGCAGCACGTTTTATAGCGCCGCGAAGAGGAAGTGGCGTAGCTGGAGCGTGACGGCCGAGGCCAGCCAATCGGGAGATCGCACCATTGTGACGCAAGCAAATTCGGAGACGGAGGGGGCGGGAAAAGGGCTGTGGGGGGCGGGTCCGGAGTCGGGGAAGAGAGGGAGGAGCTGACGTAATCCGCTTGTAAACAAATAAACCCCGAGTGGCGGCCGGAGACCGAGCTGCGGGCTTGGGGGACGGCGCGCGGGCCCGGGGAGCGCGTGTGAAAGCTCCGCCCTCGGCCCTAGCTCCTCCTCGCTCGAGCCTGTCGGGCGGCTGCTCCGAGACCGCCTTGTGCATGGGAGTGCTGCCCGGGCGGCTGTGCGGGCGCTGGGCTCCGGCTGCAGGCGGGCGCTGGGCTCCGGCTGTGCGGGCGCTCGGCTCCGGCTGCAGGCGGGCGCTCGACTCCGGCTGTGCGGGGCCCTGGGCTCCGGCTGCAGGCGGGCGCTCGGCTCCGGCTGTGAGGGCGCTGGCACTCGGGGAAGCGGACCTGCCAGCAGCAGCCTGCCCCAAGCCCCACCGTAGTCGGGGTTCCCTAGCCAACGGACTCCGAACGGGCTCCACCCTGCGGCGGCCGGGCAGGCGAGTGAGAGAGAGAGAGAGTGAGAGAGAGAGTGAGTGTGTGTGTGATGGAGGAGTGTTTGTAAGAAGTTTAATAGCAACAGAAGTAGGTTAGGAAGGCCACTTGTGTTTGCTTTGGGAGACCGGAGAGAAATGGCAGGTGTTATCCGAAGCGGGGTATGGCGTATCAGCACAGTGACACGGATGTTGCACCGCCTGGGATGCTTTGAAAAGGAGTGCACAGTTCATTGTTAACATGTACACACACAGGACCAAAGATGGCATTCCCCCCCTTAATCCAAATGCTGTCCGAGCCTCAGAGGGGAAGAAGACAACTGGAACGTAGGCTTATTGAAAGCCTCGCCTGCAAAACTTTCCAAAAACAGAGCGGGAAGGAGGCTTGATTGTGCAAAAATCATTAGACCTAAGAGAGGGTGAGCCGACTCCATGAGTGAAGGCGAGACAGTCAGATGGAGAACACGACGCAGACATAGAATCTGAGCGGCACCAGAGGGGAAACACACACCCGGGTCATCTACGTTGCAAAACACACCACTCTGAGTGCATTTCTGTTGTTTTGGTTCCAAGTCAAAGGGTACAAAATATGTCTTGCTACATACAAGTAGAAGGAGAGAAACAACTTGTTTAACTGAAAGAACATCAGACTGGATTAGAACAGTAACTTCCAAGTTGTTTTACATTAATAGATAATGCTTAACTAGTTACATATGACCTAACACACGCTTTGAAAATAGTAATGAAAACATTCCTTTTCCCTGGATCATGCATCCAAAAATAGTGGTAAATAAGGTGTTTCTCCCCCCCCCCCCATCTCCCCCTTCCCCGCCTTCCAGAACGTTTCATGTGCTTATAAATAAACATGATCGTTAGTTCACTGGGGGTAGGAAACCTCTTACAACTCACAAAGGAGGGAATAATCCATGAAACACCACCGACCCAGCCTAAGGTGTTATGGCATCCTTGATCACATGCTCTGTTCTCTTACATTGTCAGTCATTGTACGATGGATTAGCAATCCAGTGAAAGTTTGCATCATTGCCGCCTGGTCTCCTGAGCTTCAGTGGAGGAATCTGTAGTCTAGAACTAATAAAAGTTTGCTGGGACTCGAACTCAGAGCTCTCTGTTTCTAATTGCTTTCCCAGGTAGGAGCCCTTCTGGGAGCTCTATAAATTCATGTGGACATGGTTAACACAAGGCTTAACACCCATACATGTGGATGGTTGCTCCCCAATTGTTGCCCATGCTAAACCACTCCTCTAAGAAGCAAATGGATGTTAGACATTGTTCTTTGACTTAGTTCTAGAAGCTAATTAGATGAAAATTGGGGGGAATACTGTCCCTAAACATAAGCCAACCATACTTTTCAACTCTGGACACACATCCTTGTTTGCTTGATAATATTTCCCAAGGTTTTCTCAAGGCTTTCATATGCTGGAAACAAGCTGCTATTTCCAAGCAGCTTTTGCATTATAAAGGCACTTTCTCCTCTTGCTAATGGGGAAGGCAGTCTCAAAGACTTGTTAGAAACCCAGCCCGGGTTCTATGTCCTTAGGCAAGTTACCCACCCTCTCTGCACAGCAATCTAAAGAAAGTGAAGGTAGTGGTGAGAACTGAGTGGGCTCAACCACAAAAACTAATTAGTACCATGGCCCGCATGAAGGAACCATTCAAATACGCATCAGCTTTTTATAAGGTTAACACACAATTTGATAATTTCTAAAGCCTAGAAAATCTCTAAAGCATTCATAAATTAGGAAATTAGTCAAAACAAAGCTATACTGTAAAAAAAAAGAGATTCCAAACTAACTGTCAAGCAAACAAAAAAAAAAAAAAACCCCTTGGGAAACTGTATTTACTGTTTCTATAAAAATAACTATTAGCTATCATTGCAAAGGGCTAAAGCTTTATACTGTGTTCCACAGATAACTATCGTATGTTTACTCTCCTCTGTGATAATGTACTGTGTGTGGGTGAGACTGACATCAAGGGTTTGATTATTATTGTGTCCTTTGTATTTGAGGAATAGTATGCTCTGTGTGTGTGTGTCTGTGTGTGTGTGTGTCTGTGTGTGTGTGTGCATGGGCGTGTGGGTTTTTCTTCACTTGCTGTGTGCTGATATCTTTACCTAATGGAGTGTAAAGCGTCTCTCTGATTGGGAAATGAAATGAAAGTATGTCATTGCAAAAACTGGGAAAAACAAGAAGAGGGGAGGAGGGTGGGTGGGGAGTGTGGGCGGGCAGGAGGGCAGGATGCTGCTGAATCTGTATCGCAGAATGTGTGAGATGTGTTTATGTCAATAAACATAAGGAAAATAGTCATAAAAAATAAAGTGGAGCCAATGTTAAAAATGAAAAGAAGAAGTTACTAGGATAGTTAGCATAGTTTAGGCTGGACTAACACATTGGAACTCCCTTTAGCCTTCCTGAATATGCCTTTTTTTTAAAAAAAAAACCACAAAGAATAGGAAAAAGTGTTTACCTAGAGTAGGGGAATGAATTTCTGTATTTCACAGGCTAGTACAAATCAGGGATGAACACAAGACTGAAAACCTTTTATTTTGCCATAGCTTTTCTTTTTTCTTTTTTTGTAAATCACATTAACATCTACTGTCACTATAACTGTGGGCGAAATGGCACTTTTAGACAAAGTAGGAAGGGTAATCGATATCAAAATAAAGCCTAATCTTTTTAGTTGAGTTGATTTGAAGCCACTAAATATCACTTGTTTTGTTTCATCATGGACCTGTATTTGAGAACGCCTGTAAATTATGAATCTCTGAACATGTTAGCACTAGATTAAGCTACTATGATATTCCTTTTATATGCTGGTCCCACTACCTGGGAGGGCTCCTCCCTTTACCCTTAAACTAGCTGATATCTGCTCATCCTTTCTCAATACAGTTTCTTGGTCCAGAAAGTTCCCTTATCTTCCAGGCTTGAACAGTCTACTTTCCCTTGTAGTAGTCTGTGTTCCCTTGTTTTAGCCATGGTGCTTAAACCTACTACAGTCAGCATTGTCTCTCTTGTGGTCTGTAGGTCCTTGAAGGGCAGGTATCTCATGTCATTCTCTGTTGCACACCTAAAGCCTAACAACAGCCTGGCACCTAGGAAATGCTGATAAATGATTGTGAAAAGACAGATCAAAACACAAATGAATCAGATCAAAACCATTACTTGCAATTTGTCAGGTGAAAAATGAAACAGGGTCTTGCTTGCTGCTTAAAATTGGACAGTCGATATTTGAACAAACAAGATGAGAAACTCAGCTATATGGCTTTCTTTTTTTCCCCTTAGGTGCTGTGAAATATGTTATGAACTATGCATAATCCTAGCCATAGTGGTTTTTATAGATATATTTTTAGATTATTTTTAAAGAAAAGTAAATGAATACAAAAGTGACTTCATTGTATTTCTCAGTAATATCATGGTAGGGTTTACATTGCCCCCAGGCAAGATTTATTCCGCATTGAGTCTCCTTGGGCTCTGCAGACCTAAGTTAGTTGTTTGCTGATGGATATCATCTGCTTAGTTGCTGCCCTTCCCTAATAGCCTTCCATCAGTCTACTGACCTGTCATTACATGCTCATGGACCACTCTCCCTATGGTTCATGTCACTCCTTCCATCTATGCAAGTCAGTAGTCCTGGATCATTTTGGGGAAGCTCAGAATTTCTGCAATGCTTGTTTTAAAGGTCACAGGTTTTCCAGGAGGCTGCCCCCACCCAGTCCAGGTATTGCTTTCCCATCTGAATGCTCCCCACCCCTCCCTGAAGGCACACTCAATGCAGGGAGTGAGCTACTGGCAGCCAAACTGCATTAGTCAGCTAGCTGCAATCAATCCCTAAGGTTTATTTGTCCTGAATCTACTTTCAGATAGAGTGCTGGGTGTCTAAAACGTAACTTAACCAGGAAGTTCAGGGTGATGGGGTGGACAGGGATATCCTTCTTCAGAGCGTTAATGGCAAATAGAGATAAGGTATTTATTTCAATTTGTGTTTGGGGTCAGAAGGCATACAGGAAACCCCCAAATGAGAGCCATCTCTCTTTGAACCAGGGAAGTTTACCATGATTAGACTTTTTTTTTTTGAATGGTAGAATATGGAAAGCCTGATCTTGATAGTATCTATGAGGTTTAAACTAATGAGGATAAGTGTTGCTGAAAACACTGGTAGCTGGAGAAGGGCACAGTATATTTTTGGATATTTTCAACAAGAAGTAATATGACCACATTTATTTTTCAGAAAGCCCTGAGGTGGGTAGTATGGAATGCTGCTGAAATGACTTCTATTTTTGCCCCCAGCTTGTATTGAAGTCTTAAAATAATTTAGTGCCTCTTGTGAGTTTACCTTTTCAACTTAGACCT